TGAAACCGTGAATCGTCGTCTGAGGTTTGTCGGGGGGAGGAGGTTTCATACTCTCAGGGAGGGTGGTTACCCACAGTTTTCCACTTGGATCAGTTGCTTCTCCGATCACAGACATAATCGGTTGCCTCTCCGCCAGTGAAAATCTCACGCGCCTCGATGTGATTCGAAACAGAAAGCCTCCCCACCCGGTCCGACCGGGAAGTGTCAGCCAGGGAGACTCAGAAAAACGAGCTGGCTGGCGCCGACGGGGAGACCGAAAAACGACCCAGCAACGACGTGACCCAGCAACGTCACGGACGTGTGACTTGCTGGACTTGCCGAACGGCATTTGGAGGCCCACAGACGATTTGGAGGCCCTCCCAATCAAGGGTGACTTGACTTCATGTCAGCCTCACAGGTGACCCATGTGCCAGTCCACCTTTTTTCTGTCCGGGACCTTCAGTGTGTTTTTGGAAGTGGGTCAACGAAATCCTCGCATTACAGTATAACTACAAAAAGACACATAAAGAAAAGACAAAACAACAAGACAATAAGATAGAGGTTCCACCACCGTCCCGGACCCCGTGGCCACCAAAATCTGACGCGCCGTGCTTTCGGAGGTGCGGTCGCTGGGAGTGCTTTCCTGGCGCCCACAGGCCAGGACACTCCATCTCCTGGAGGGGTGGTGGCGACCATGTTGTTGTTCTTTTTGTTTTGTTTCAGCACATTTGCATTCGCGCAATTTCAGTCGGCTCAAGTGACGGATGAATATACAAATTATATACTTTTGCAGTATGAAGATAGCATCATAGAAAGAATATAGTATATGATGATGTGTGTTTTGAGCATACAGGAAGCAACGCTTCACGATGCAAGGGCAACGGCTACTCAGTTCAAGACATTTGTGGTTGGCATCGACCGGGGTCTCCGGGAGACGAACATGAGGGGAGCCCCTACCTCGTAGCAACCTTGCTCCTATAGTAGTAAGGCCAGGAGCCCCGTTCGTAGCTTCTTTGCTCCTAGTTGCTATTTGGAAGGTTCCTTTTGCCTCCAAGATGCACTGCGCCAGGAAGCCAAACGAAGGGCGCCAACTTGCGCTCCAGGACGGCACAGGCCACTGCGCAACAGGCACAGGCCAGCGAGGGGGGTGGAAGAGATTTATAGTTCATGTGTCTTCTGGATGATGCGAGACCACCTACCCACCCACCGAGATTCTTGGGCCTCAGTGCTGGTTCCAATGCTACGAAGATCTTGATGAGTCACACTCACGCCGTGATACGTGAATCATGTGTGCAGTAGGAGCAAGGACGCTGCGAACGGAACGGGGCTCCTGGCCTTACTACTAGGAACAAGGTTCGCTACTAGGGGCTCCTGGCATCGCTACGAACGGAGCGATCGGACGCTACTATAGGCTCAACTGTTAGGGCTGATCCTCTGATCGAGTCGCTGATCTGGCGGATAGGCCTCCAGTGCCGCTCCCAGCTATGCTGCTGCCTCTGTGGTGGCTGCCTCCGCGGGTGTCTTCATGGCACGACGGCCCTTTGGCCAGACCAAATGGCCTTACACACCTGAAAACTAACATGGACACAGAATGGGGACCCAGAGAGACTGTTTTCCTTTACAGACCAGTGGTTTTCAGGGTCCATGTTGGTTTTCCTAGTGGGATCATGGCGCTGGATTTGAGATTTGTATGGATTTATGGCGTTTTCGGGTTCTCAAAGTGGCCGTGAATCTTCGACGCCGGAACACCTGCAACTTGCTGCACGCACTGGACCGGCGCTTCCCCACGCGCTGGACCGGCGCTTCCTTGGCGATCCCGAGGCCGGGACACTTGAGCCCCACCACCATCACCGCCCTCAAGGCAGGTGTCGGTGTGCGTCGAGGTGTGAGCCGGGGTGCCCTCGGGGTTTTGGGGTGAGTCGAGTAGCGGTGTCAGCAAAACAAGAACTTTAAGAACTTTATGTCACGGTTCCTAACCAAGAACTTTAATTCCTTGCGACTCTAAGGGGCTAAGCAGCATGGACAGTGCACGGTCAAATCCAATAACTGCCAACAAGCCTCATGACTCATGAGATTCCATTTGCATCCCACATTTGGAAAGCTTCTTCTGATTCAGTCGTGGTACTGTATCGTTTTGTGCAACACTTTGGTCACTCAATATTCGTAATTTTCTTGGATCCTTTCAGCACCCCAACGTAGCGTGGCTGTGATATTGCCGCCATGCCTCCACAAGCTAAACATTTTGTCGGAGCAAAGACCACAAGATAAAGCATGGTGGGGTGCTAAGCATGGAGAAATCATCAGAGCGGTCGCTTTTGAGATTAGCCCCTTTCTTGTGCTAGGCGCATGCATGAGTTCCGACACGAGATGTTCCAACCATTGGGAGTGGGGTTTGGGCGTACGTACTTTTGGGGTTCGAGAGAAGCATGTTGGATAGCACGTGGGAACTCGCCAAAGCTGCCTCAGCAAATCACTAGAATCCCCTATGACTGGTGGTCCATCTAGCAGGGCAATGGTTTGGGTCAGCATTCCCAAGCTGCGAATCATCTGCCAGGCCTTCGAGCAGGAGTGCGTGGGTGCGTGGGTAGAGCTGGAGCTGATGGATGTTGTTGAACATGTCGAGCCCCAAAATACCAAATGATTGGACAGTCGTGACAACGGTGCTGATATATATATATATATATATATACATATTATGTATAAAAAATATTAATGTAATATAATAGTATAAATGGTCGTGACTAAAGCTCTATCCTTGGGAATCCAATGTTCTACACATTAAGTCTTATCATGCCTTAACCATCCGAGAGGCATTTGTCATCAACATGAAGCAGCATATCCTTTGGGCACTCGCAAGATCAATGGGAAAGATGCCAGATGTACCACTTTTGGAAAGCTCGACATCGGAATCATCAACCTTCAACGGGTGGCTATGGACAGGGGTTCGCACGGAATGGAACTGTCTAATAAAGGAGACCGGAACCCACTGGGCTTCCTGGGCTTCTTGGCTTGAAATACGGCTTTGTATGGCTTTGTACTTTCATGCATTTCATTGTCAGGACCCCAAACTGCAGTAATTACCCAGACGCTCATGTATGCCATATTTGGTAAATATGGCATACATAGAGCGTCTGGGGTATGTTTTAGTCATTTTGAGTCTATCCAATTGACACGAAGTCCTCAGCCTTCGGCCTCTTGCCTTCCGTCCAACACCCGGTTTCACACGCTCGGTTTCACCGCGAGGAGCTGGGCGTGCAGCCTCCTGTGGGCTACTGGGACCCTGCTGGCTTGGCCAGGGATGGTGACGTGGAGGCGGTGTCAACTGGGGCGACGGAGCTGAGTCACTTGATTTGTGGCCTGTGGTGGTGGGCAGTTACAGCCATGCACTGGTTTGCGTCGCAGCAACCACATATCGGGACCTGGGCTTTACGTCCCCAAGCTGCCCGTGGCAGCACAGAACTGGAGTTGTCCATGCAAAGTCTTAAATGAATACGGCCAAGTGCAAGATGCAGCTGAACAAACGATAAAAACACGGCCAAAAACAATTGCCAGCAAAAGACATGGACACAACATGACACAACCTTTGCCTGCCGGTGTCTAGCTTTTGAACACATCCCTGCTACAGTAAAATACAACAAGAAACAACAATCTGTCACCACAAAGGAACAAACAGAACATCATTACAAATAACATAGTTTAGTTGTTTCAAGTCGGTGGCTGGTAGATTCTCTTCGATTTTTACTCAGCAACTGACTCCCACCCATTTCTAAAGACATCTTTTCCTTCAAGATTCAAGATCTCGATCCGATTCTTCGTTTCTGTCTCCACCGACCCAGCCCGTCACTCCACGTTCTCCCCCACTCGAGCGGAGCGCCTCGCCTCGCGCGTTCTCCACTCGTTCGCCTCACTCGGCGGCGAGGCCTTCCAGCGCCGCCGCTCCGTGGAGCTGAAGCACGGAAGGAGCCGACGAACGTCGTCGTCCGAACGTCGTCGTGGTCGAAGAGGCGACCGGCCGTGCCCGGGGGCGACGGTCGACCGGGCGCTGTGGGGGGGGGGAGAGGTCTGTAGCGATGCCTTTTGCTGCTAGTAGCGACCATAGTCCGAACCAATTCCAGGATTGCTATGCTGGCGACCATGGGCGACTTGGTCCGAACGCGACCGGAGCGAAGACAGGGATCGCTGGGAGGTGAGTTGACTGTGAGTCGACTAGACACAGCAGGATGTGTTCACATGACATAACTAGACACGGCTACAGTCGACGCTTGAAGCTAGAGTCAATCCATGAGGGAATTTTGCTTGAACTCCCTTCTCACGCAACTGCCGGGCGAAATCCAGGCATCCCACTGGGTAGAGGAATCTGGTCGGACCAGTATGTATACCTGTATTAATGGCAATGGCCCCAATGGCCCGAGGCCTATTCAAAAGAAACCATGCAATGCCTTTGTTGGTGGTTGAATGCCGTTCTTGGAGACCATAGTGGAGCCAGCAGAGACTTGCGAAGACATAGCTTGAGCATGCTTAAGCTAACATCGCTTACAACATGTTCAATCCAAGAACCTTGCTTGCTTGCTGGCTGGCTTGCTTGCTTGCTGGCTGGCTGGCTTGCTTGCTGCTGATGATGAGTCACCACTGGCACATCTGCAAAAGAGCATTTGACTTCATGACGGAATCTCGAGGCTACATCACCCCCGAAATCGCGGGCAAGTTCCCGGGCTACCTGAGCCCCAGCGCCGGACTGAAGTTCGCCGACGTGCCCAACGGCCTGGCTGCCATCTCCAAGGCCGTTTGAGGGATCCTGCCCTGCCCAGGGGAGCCAACAGTTGGATCAGGGACCCAACAGTTGGATCAGTTGGACTTCTTAGAGCCTTACGGAGCCTGTTTCGGTACTCCAAATGTCACTGGACCACTGACTTCAGGTGGTCTCAGACCTTTCACGCATCCCATTCCTTGGTCAGATCGCGGCATCCCCTTTCCCGTATCCGAGTCTCATGCCTTGTCGCGGCGAGCTGCTTACCGTTCAGGTGCCTGCGGGTGGCTGGACTCAGATTTTGCTCTACATGGGCTGGTGCGAGGTGAGCCGTGGCCCAGGCTCCGACATTGCCAGCGGACGCCCAGGCCGGGTGGGTGGGTATTGTTCTTCGGATGTTTTCTTTGGAGGTTCGGAGCAGCAAGCCCTGAGCTGGACTGAAACCGCTGCAGACCATACTGCCACTGGTGGGTGAGGTGATTTTGCATGGCTCGTTGCTGGGTCTTCTTGTACGTATGACCCACCCTGACATGCACCCTCCCAAAAGAGATGGAAAGCCCATCGACCACCATGTGGGGGGTGTTCGCTTCATATGTGCATTCTAAGGGTCTGGAGTCTGGAAATGTCTGGAATACCGGAATACCAGTAAACATGGGAGAAGTCGCCCTTTGGCATACTCCATCATATGCTACTGCTATACTTGTACATTCTACGCCTTTGTAGTTGGGTGTTTCGTATCTCCAGACTCCCCAAGCGCGCATGGCGCAGGCGACTTTGGATGGTATGTCTTGTGCCTCGACTGATCCGGGAGGGAGAGGGCCTGCAGGGTGTGGGTTGCACATCCGAAAGCAACGCTGCACGGGTTGTTTTGAGTTGTGCACGCCAGCCGATACAAGGGTTGTATGGTTGGTCACGTATGGCTGCCATTGCTCAACACAAGTTTTTGTTTTTTCTTAGTATAAGTTTAGTTATGTTTTTTCTTTGGCCGGTTTGGGGTGTGATGGCCTGGGGCCGGGGGTGGGGCCACGGTCTGGGGTAGATGGTATGCACGTAAATCACATTGAAAGGGATCATATACAGAAGACCGTATATCGCATACCGCATACCTATATCATGGTAGATGGATGTAAATGGAAAGAAATCCAAAGGTTGCAAGCAAGGTATGGATGTCCTGGCAGTATGGTATGTATTTGCCTATGTGTTAATGGATGGATGTAAATCGGTCGCCCAAATAATCTTCACCATTTCTCATTCGTCCATCCCACTGCGGCACTGCGCTGAATCGCGCATGGTCCTCAGCGTGCCAGAGATGTTGTGTTTCATGGGTGGAGGTCAAAGGCAGGGCATCAAGTGATGCTAAGGTGAGATGGTCATCTAAAAATCTCAGTTGGTGCCGGGCCGGCTAACAATAAGAAACACATCGTTACTAGATTTACACCTTTTGCATTGGTCTTAAAGTAATGAGATGGTCATTGAGATGGTACTTTGACTCCAAACTCCAGTTTCTGTAAACTCCCCACGGCCGACCGGCCAAGCTACGTGGAGACTGGCACCATGACAGTCCGGCCCAGGAGCTCCCCTGACCCTGAGACCAAGAAGAAAAAGCTTTCGGCGGAGCTGGCCAACGGCCGTTTGGCCATGTTGCTTGGAAGGAAACACTCTCGAATTTTTGGTGTTGGATGGTCAGAGATGTTTCAAGAATTCTGACCAGGTCTTTGTTGATGCTTTTCCCACTTAATGCGCTTAATGTTTGGTCTCAGTTTCTTGAGGGGATCCAAGTATGTTGATGGCAAAGCGGTGCCAAAGAAGTAGCTTAGAAGTTAGAAGTTTAAGAGTTGGACATGTTTGCAGTTCTTCTTTCACACTCTCCCCCATCCCTGCAAATCTGAAGGAGCACCCTTAAATCTCCTTCTTCACCTTTTCGTCCCGTCCCGTCTCGTCCTGTGCGTCCGACCGGTCGGACCGGTCGGACCGGACTCGGCGGCGGCCGGGACGAGCCGGCCGTCGCTCAGGATGGCCATCATCGGCATGTTCTACCAAGATGGCCTCACAGGCGGGGCTTCGCAGGTTCACCTGGGATGTAGCCAAGCCTGATCTCACCTGGGTGGGTGGAGGCGAATGGAGGAACAAGCCGAGCGTGGATGTAGGATGATGTAAGATGATCTAAGAGGCATGTGGAGACGAAGGAGGGAGATTGCTCACCTTGCATCCTGAAAGCCACCATAGATGCTCAGAACCTGCTCCGCCCACACCAAGGGTTGATGATTGCAGTTCCAGCGAACTCTTTGGGATCGACTGCTACGGTGACCTGCTAGGTCACACCAGGTCTCGCCCGGTGTCGTCGCGAACTCATCAAGGGAAGAACACCTCACTGGCATAGGGCGGTCATCTCTGTCACTGACTTGAAACTCTATGACATGTGTTTTGGAGGTCAACCCCTGGTGAATGACCAGCACGCAAGAAAAAGCCACCCCTGTGAAATGCTATTGATACGCATCATGACACATGGTGTTCGGGATGAGGATGAAGCATGATGAAGCCCCTACACTGCATCCTTTGAACCGTCCACCTCGTTTGTCGGTGAAGCTGTGTGTCGGTTCGCCTCGTCGCAGGCTCCGCCTGGGGTGACTGGTCCAACTTCACCGACAGCCCATTGAGGGCCTTTGAGAACGAGACAGGCGCCCAGCTGGGAACCACTTCCGCGGCGGATGGGGTGGGGGAAGTTTCCTGGGGGGGATCTAGAGTCACCGAGACCCATGTTTTGGACACATCGTTTGGACGCATGTTTCGTTCTAAGTGCTTGTCCGTCGCAAAAGAAAAGCTTGCCAAAAAACCATGGACATCCAAAGCCTTGGAAGCATTTTCTTTTTTTTTGTAGGTGAGCTTCATACCTCAGGCGTGCAGCCTCCTGTGGGCTACTGGGACCCCTTGGGCTTGGCCGTCAGCGGAAGCTTGGCCTGAGGGGGTCGAGGCACTCCCGAAGAGCAGGAAGAATACGTTTTTCCTCCAGATACAGGGGTGTTCTTTTTGTCACTTCCATCGTGGGTTCTTCTAGTTTTTGTTGGCTTCTCTCCAAGGGTTTCAGGTCAAAGACATCACTGACTCATCCATAGGTGTCGAAAGATACCCGGAAAGCACCAAAAATGTCCGGTAGTGTTCGAGTTTTTAGAGCCAAGCGTACAGGGAAGGGACAGCGCACCCATCCATGGTTGAATTTAGTACCTGGATCCAACAGGTGTCACTCCTGGATACTCCTGGTATCTCCGGGTGACAGGTGCTACTCCTGGGGTCCCGAAACAGCCTGTTGGAGGCTTGGTCGTTTTTGGGCTTTTTTATCCCCCCCGCCAAATCGGAGCCTCCAATCCAACCCAAGCGGCCGAGGAAACCAGTCGGACTACAAGCGACGACGCGAAGTCGAGCTGAAGCACGGCCGTGTGGCCATGTAGCCCGGCTTCCGTCCGTGTGGCCGTTGACAGAGAGGGAGGGGACTGGAGAGGGAGGGGACTGGAGATGAGTGGAGTTTCTTTCCTTCGGGACCACCGTTGTCAGCAGATTTTTTCTGAAAAAAGGATCCGTTCTTTTGTTCATGGGCAGGCGGAATGTTTACTCACAGTGGAGCAGTAAAGCTGGTGCGAGTTGAGGCGGGAAGCTAGACGCCTTGTTTTAATCTTTTGGATCTGATTCATAGGAATAATTACCAAGCAAACGTAGAGGTAAGATGCCAGTCATCTAACCTTGGTTCCCCCATCTCACCGTATAAAAGGCAAAGGCAAATCAGTAACACAAAGGAACGGATGTCAAGTAGCTGATTGTTTGTTCTTGTTCCGTTACATCAAGTATATAGACCCCCAAATGCATAGAAAAGCAGACAAATCACCACTAGAAAAGCAATTCCTCACTAATTCCTCACTGACCATGTGTTGGGGACCACTAGAGCCTTGTCTCTTTCTGATTGGCGCCCCGTTGAGATGGCCAGTGCACCCGGTGCGGTCTACCGTAGCTTCTTTCTGCTGATCTCCCAAAAAAAGGAACACCGCCAGAACGGGTGGGACGTCTTCTTTGAAGACCTCATGGTTTGGAAGTCCTGGCTGGTTTGGATTAGATGTTGCTTTTGGATATGTCTTTTCAGGGAAAGCGCCAGTGAAAGAAGGAGAAAACTGGAACGTCCAAACGCTCCACGAAACGGACGCAACGCCACCAACGACCGAAGCGGAACTCGCCCGAAATCGATGATTCGTCGCCACCATCTCAGGTTCGCCACCATCGGCTACATCTTGCCAGAGTATTGGCGCTTCCCAGGATATCTGTCCAAGTTCCTGGACCCTTAGCACAGATAGGCCCATAAGCCACGCACGCACCGCTTCGACGGAGACAAACGGCGCACGACGCGGGGCCCGGCTGAAAACGGCAGCGGCCGTTTTGGTGAGACCTGAGAGCTGGGTCGTTTGAGGAAGAAGAAAGAGAGATGTGAACCGACATACGCACAATTCCACACATTCCTGATTCATTGGGCATCTCCGGCATCTGCTTAGTAACGGTGTTTTTTTTTTGTATGTATCCACGACCATCCTACACTTTGTAGTTGGGCGCGCCAACAGAATGATGGTCCAGATAATATGTGTTGCGATCGACCTCAGGTTAAGCTCCTTCCGAGCATAGCTCCCTGCATCACCCTGCCCCATGGCCCGTCGTTCCGATCCACCTGACCTGAGACCTGCCTTCTCCCAATGGCCTTGGCTTCTTCCCAAGGACATCAAGTTCTCCGATGTGCCCAATGGCCTTGCAGCCTTCTCCAAGGTTCCGGCGCTCGGATGGCCGCTGGGGCTGCAGCTCTTGTTCGAATCTGCAGGGCAGCTAACAACATGTGTATAATTGTGTATATGTATGTATCAATATCTATAGCTATAGCCAACAGTTTGCGGATATAAAATAGGATTCCTGCCAGATCTGGAAGACCTTTTGGCCATCTTCATTGAAGGAGTCGCAACACATGTGGATCCAAAGCGTCGCAGCAAGGCTGCAAATTGTGGGCTTCGCGGGCATTGTGGAGCTCAACGTCGCTCTGGTATGCACAGGAGGGGACCAAGGAGAAGGTGCAAGCTGCGAAGGTTTAAGCCATTAAGGGCGGTTTTTGTGTGTCTTACAATAGAATACAATCCCTAGGGCTCCAAGTACCTCCTCAGAAGGTATTTGGACCTTCTAAACCCACAAAGACCTTCTCAGAAGGTCTCTGGAGCCCTGGGGAATCGATCATATAACATCTATGTGGAGCTGGAGCCCTAGCTACCATTCTGGATATGACCATACGATGCTGGAGCCCTGGATAGATGGATAGATGTTTCCATGGATGTTCAGGCAAATGGGCGACTCATAAGACACATAAGACTCAGTTCAGACCGGAGTTCATACAGACCAGCATACTCATACTCATGTCATACAGACACATAAGACTCATACTCATGTTAGGAACACGTTCCATCCATAGGGACTCGCAGACCTCTTCAGTTCAGACCCCGAACGGCCGACCTGATCGGACCGGTCAGACGCGCGCCAGTGGGAGTACGGTGACCGTTGTCACGAGCAGCTGAGAAAGAACGATGCTAGCGAACGAAGGAGTAGGGCACACTGACGTGACGATTTGGAACATAGATGAACGTGGAGGATCTATAGATTCTCTCTCTCTATATATATAGGTTGTCTCTCTTTTTTTAAAAGTCCTTTTTGATCGTTGATGAGCTCTTGCGGAGGGGGATAGGCTGGCACAGATGACTTGTCCTTCAACAGTCCCACGCGAACCTTATTGCTTTTCAATGACCACATGTCCATCCCACCTGACCTCCTAGATCTAGATCTGACCTTCCTATAGACATCCTGACAGGCCTGACATCAATGCCTTTCTCAGTTCCCAGCCTGAAACGAGGTCTACAATGAGCAAGTGAACGATGAGCCTGGAAACTATGGCTCTGGCTTTTTGGGCCTCAGGCGTGTGACGCGCGACGCGACGCAGCGAGTGACGCTAGCGCCGCAGACTCCTCGTCCCAGCGTCCGACTGGAAGTGGGACATGCGATGCAATGCCCAGTGAGCCGAGGGCGTTGATCAGATTCATTGATGGATGAACCCCTTGGTTGGTAGAGGAAAGGAGTCTTCCTTTCGGGGCCATGCCATCCACTTCCATGATTGTTGGAGATTGTTGGAGGATGTTGGTTTGTATTTGGGAGTACGATCCTGTTGGGGTGTCCACACCGCAAGCCTGTGCAGGGCCTTGGATGCTCCAGGCTTAAGTTCAACAATGACATCAGTAGCCTCACTCCAAGCAGAACCCCCTCAAACAAACTCCCAACATCTTTGGACCCCCAAGAAGACCTGCATGGTGGACCATTGTGGTGGGTCTTTTTCCGCACGTTTTTTTGGAGCGGAGGTCTGTGGGTGTCATGAACTCCGCGATCTCTGATCCAGAGATCAGGAAGAAGACGCTCGGAGGTCGGAGGTCCGTGCCAGCGAGAAATGCCTTGGGTCATGGGGTGTTTTCGTCCATTGGGTATTGTGACGGAAGACAATTCCCCAATCCGGCATACTTTCCCTAAAGGCAATATTGCGGAGTATATAGTATATGCTGCTCTCACAACAGTCAACAACAACTGTTTTGTATAGACTTCTGCGTTTCCAGCACTCTGCAAATGAGCAATTCCCAGCCGCTAAGAGCCCGGTTGACAATCTATCCCAAAGCTGGCCTTTGTACCTGCAAGACCAGTTGCATGTTTACACTTTGTGGAAGGAACCCAAAGGAACCCAAAGGAACCCGAAGGAACCTGAAGGAACCCACGGCACCTTCCACCTCCGCCGGACCGCCGGTCGCACCGGACGGGACTGGCCGAGGAAGTTGAACGCCGAGCTGGCCAACGGCCGTCTGGCCATGATGGTCGCTTGGGCGTGGAGGGTGAGGGGGTGTTACTCGGGGGCCAGGACTGGGGCGGTTTGAGGGAAGCGGATGGACTTGTTGTAGAGAAGGGACTGGTTTTTAGGGTGGTGGGACTTGTTTTTAGGGAATCGACTTCACTGTAGAAATAAGGCCTGGCCTTCTCAGCTTTTCTGGGTTTCAAGCAGGTTGCTGCTCTTGGCGAGGCTGGGGTTTGCTTGGGGAAGAAGGCCAGGGTCAGAATGGGCACTGGTGCCCGGATGGATGATGGACTCTTTGCCACCCAGAGCGATGGGTTGAAGCTATTGCGCGGCTGGTTCCCTGTGAAGAGGATCACTCTGATCACTCTGTGCCCCAACTATCAGACTCTGATGGGGTGTTTGCTTGCTTGCGAAGGTTTTTTCGATGTTCAGCAACCAATTTAGGGCCTGGGCATGCCTGGGCCTTGACATGGATTCAGGTTCTTTTTTTACACCTTCAGGATTCAGATGGATTCAGGCTCTTATTCCACCAAGCCACGTCCCTGTCTTTGGGACGTGGTCCACACGAGTATGACCTGCTCGGACCGTTCGGTCGGCGTCTGAGCGAAACGCGTCCTCAGGCGATTATTGGCATGTTCTTCCAGGTGGGAATCGATGTGCTGAATCGATGTTTTAGCATGTGATTTCCTCCAGTTGCGAGTGGTATTTTGTTGGGATTGGGCCACCAAAGAAATACCAGACTTCAGGAGCACCACAAGGGCTCCAGCCCGTGGGCCCATGGGCTCATGGACCACTTTAGATCTGAGAAGGTACCCTCTTGTTTCTTGTGTCATAGACAAGGACTCTACAATCACTATGAATTACATAATTGCTGTTGTCACGGTACAGTTCCCTCCTGTGTTCATATATCCCAAAGTCAGCCCAAAGTCCCGCAATGGTGGGTCAGAAAAGATCAGACAGCTCTAATTCCACCCACCATTCAACCCATCAGACAGCTCTAGCTAATTAGGATTTTGTGTCCCAGACAGCTCCACGTTTGTTTCCCTCCTGCGTGGTATCTGGATTCATCCAGCCCACTATACCAGGGCCCCTAAGGGGTGTCCAATTATAGCTCCTCAGAGGTTAAGGTTAAGGGTATCCATTAACCATCCCTTAGGGGGCCCTGGTACATGGTTGTTTTCTTGACAAAACCTGATGAAAAGACAAAATCCTATCTACTACGTACTCGCTGTGTCTCTTCAGGACAGAGTCTTCTGCTCCACGTATCAGGCATGGTTTAAGGTCAATGCGTAGGCACCGCCCTACGCCTAGCAGAAGCTCTGGTTTTCTGCGCGGGGTTTTCGACCATCAGTCCATTTTTACACAGACACAAAACACACAAAACACACAAAACACAGTCCGTGAACAAGACTCAATCATGTAACTCAGGCTTCATGCCATGATGTTTGGTGAGAACAAACATCTATGCAACACCATCTTCCACGTGAAAACAAACGATTCACCAGCATAGGAACTTCGACACTTCTTTGGTCACAGGGAAGACAGAACCATCTTCCCAGAAACCCATGTCATCCACTGGACGTTTTCTCCTCGTCACGTGGAGTGTCCCAGGATGGCTTGACGGGCTCCGCCTGGGGCGACTGGGCGAACTACACCGACAGCCCCCTGAGGGCCTTCGAGACCGAGCTGGGCGCCGCACGGCCTGAGAGGGTCGCGAACGGCCTGGGTGGGCGAACGGCCTGAGAGTGGGGTTGGAGGGAAGTGGTTGCCTTTGGAGGGAATGAGCTTACGAAGTGTTAGATGGCTGTGGGTCATGGCACCAGAATTTGCTGCCGGCAAAATGGCACGGGTGAAGAAGGTTTGGATGGTTCGAAGGTTTGGATGGTCAGAAGTCGTGTCACACTGGGGCCTGAAAAGCCCAGGGCCTGGGGGCCTCACTATCCATCTATGTTTGTTTTCAGGCTTTTACTGTACACTTGCCACAAACCAACAAGAAATCAGGAGATGACATCATACTCGTGCTACATCCTTTATAGCTGAGCCGTGGAGATTCTGGTCCATGGAGCCAAGAAGGTGCTTCACCTTCCCTGTTTTTCCAGCGGGGTGAAGAGGGGGGAAGCTCGTGCGTGCTCAGCTAAAGACCATGAAACAGAAACACAATTTTGAGAGCTGTAGGTGTTGCCCCTTTCCTTTTGTTCTCCGGACATGTCATTTCCATTCATTTCGCCAGGCTGCCGCCTCACATGACCATTTGTATAGATGAAAAGCTCTTTGATCGAATGGGAAGGGCACGACGAATGGCAACACCCCCCATGAAGATGTTCATTGTTCGAAATCTTATGAACCAGCTTCATCAATCCCCATGACGATTTCTTCTTATGAACCAGTTTCATGCAACGAGGTAAAGAGATGTAAAGAGATGCAAAGAGTGTCATCCCACGATCGTGAACTCTTGTCCGGATCGCGGGTCCGACGTGGCAGTACGCCAGACCGGGAACCAGGCGAAGGCGTTACCCACCAGCCACTTCAATTCAAGTCGCAAAGACATCACTCCTAGACCACCCACCCGAAACAAGGTGCGGCGATGTGAACCATGAGAAGCTTTTGCTTAGATCACCACAATCCAACGTGGCTCAACAAAAAGCCGCGATGCCATGGCCTCCCAATTCGTGTGCCACGCAGTACGTTGAGACCCTGCGCAGCCCGTTGAGGTCCAGCCTCCCGTGGGCTTCTGGGACCCCTTGGGCCTCTCCGCCGACGGCGACGTGGAAGTCTTCCAGCGCCGCCGGGAGGTCGAGCTCAAGCACGGCAGGAGCAGCAGTCGAGCTCAAGCACGGCGTGTGTTAAGAGGTGTTGGGTCAACATGGAGTACTGTATTAAAATAGGGAGACCCTCCCAGTTTCGACCTCAAGGAAGGAAGGAACATAGACCAGGAAGTACCTAGGAAGGGCCGCCGGGTGTCTTCCGAAGACAAATAACACGGACCGGACATGTTTGCATCCGTGTAACACGCTGTAGCCATGATGTTGTTTGGTTCTTGGCGCCGTGGGCGGAGCGATGTCGGGTCAGCATTTTCATGTGGTTTTGATCAGTTAGTTAGGTTCTATCCATGAAGCTGTGATGGTGTGGGATGGTGGGGGATGGTGGGGGGGTTGGTTGGGGCACCCTTCAATAAGACTTGATTGGGATTTTGTGAGAAGACCAGTTCCAGGTTGCTTGTTCCTGTCGCACAAAAACCCGCATCGACTGAAAGCTTCTTGCGACAGCGAGTGCAGCCTTGCGACCATATTCCAGGATCTCCATGTTTGCCTGCATGGGCTACATCGTGCCGGAGTGCGCCAGAACCGCTGTTTATTTTGTCAACAGGTTCTTGGAGACGTGCAAGCCCGGGAAAACCATGAAAGATGTTTCACTCGAGTAGTCACTCAGTGGAAGCTTTACACGCAGGACTTATTATCTCTGCTGGGGACACTTAGATTGAGGATCAATGGTGGTATTTCACAGAACCTCCAAGGCAACCAACTACAAATAAGGCACATGTCATGTGAGGAGAGCAAGGCTAGACAACCAACCCTTTAGATGAATTGATGGTCCATCGACAACCTTAGGAAAAGGAAGCATACCGACCAACCAGCCGATGTTTTCGCTGGGACGATTCCAGGCTGCTGCCTGCTGCGCCGTGGACGAAGCGCGATGCCTTCGGTAGGTACTTCAAGTTCCCGGGTGAGTTGTCCCCCAAGATGGGCCTGAAGTTCGCTGACATCCCCAACGGCCTCGCAGCCCTCACCAAGGCCACGTGTGGTGGGACGTGGTGCGAAAGGTCTGTGTGACGAAGTCCGCAAGGCATCTAAAGCTTTCATCCACTTGTTCTACACTGTTGACAGTTTGGGGGATGAATTGAGAGTTTCACGTCTCAGTGAAATCTGGTCTCAGTGTTCTTGACACAACATCCAGGGCGTTAGGCACATAGATATTATAGTATCTAGAACATTTTTACAGGTCTTGGTCTTCATTGAAGCCCGTGGCTACCAACTGGTTATAGTTATATAGTTAATTGAATCCTCTAGCATTCCCCTTTGGCACTTGCGGCAGATCCGTTTCGGGATGCGCCCGCCTAGCAGCATGGCTCAGGTGCCAGGGCAGGGCTGGGCGCAGATCGTGGCCTTCTTGGGAACCTATGAGCTCTTCATCAACAAGCCAGCACCACAACCGCAAGTATTTTTGCATGTGTGCACATGGTCCCTTTAGGTGTTCACTGCGCTTTTTGAGATGAGCTTGGGCAGGAAGGACAAGGTCGGAAGTTTAGTTGTGAGCTGGGGCCCTGGGGGCAGGTCAATTGGAGGGTTTCCAGAATACCCGTGGTGGGTTTTCGCTGTCCCATATTTTCGGTCCAGCCACAGGAAAGACTCCCAAGCTCCACAGAATCCAAGTTCTCATCCCTGGGCTAATAACTAATGTAGACTCTTGATCAAGAACCACCCCCTTGGAATTGAACACGTTTTGTATCCTTTTATATGGGGAGGTTATTAATCAAGTGTCTACATTAGACCCTTTTAGTCAAGATCTTCTTTCCCTTAGGAAGTGAACATGTAACACCCGTGATGTGATGGACATATTAATGGGCACGGTCACCCACCCTTCCACATCGACCCGCGACTCCAGTTTGGAGACTTCAGGTGGGTGATGAGCCTGGAAACTACGGCAAGGGCAACTTGGGCCTGGGCTTCTTTGGCCCGATGACCAACCCTGAGGCACGGTCTCACCCCGGCGGGCGGGCGGCCACATGTCACATGGAGTTTTGTGTGCAAACCCTTTGACCCTTTGGCTCTAAAACAACAAGAACTTTCCGCACGCGCGAGGCGCGCAAGAAGAAGCTTTCCGCGGAACTCGCCAACGGACGCTTGGCCATGATGGCCATTATCGGCATGTTCCTCGGCGTTTCTGGCGTTCCCACCGGGCCTGGCCATTGGTGGGGGACGCTGGCCATTGTGGCTCGCGATGGTCGGCGGGGTTCGCGGTGGTTTGAGAAGGAAAAGCGCCTGGTCTCAGAATGTCTCAGATTGATCTAGTTCGACCTACCCAATTGGAAGATATTGGAAGTATCCTGCAGTTGAGGATTTTTCTCCGTACTGGAACTTCTATGGAAGACCGCCTCTTCTTGCAGGTTCCCATCTCGCGCAAACACCCATCGGAAGAGGCCTCAGTTCCTATGGAAGACGGTTTTGACCAGATCAGGGCGCAGTGACCAGAAATGAATCAAGATGTGCTCGGCCGCAGTATCCAGCCATCGGCAAAAACCATGCGAACACGTTAAAACAAAGAAACACAACTGGATTGGACGCGTTTGGACTTCCTGATCTGCGCAGCGTCCCGGTGTGAATCGGATGTTTGGCATTCCAGAACTGGTTTGATTGGTCAAGATTCGTCTCCTTTGTAGCTCCTTAGTATGTGCTAGTAGGATCTGACTGATCTTAACAAGACAATTACTGTAGGCCACTAGGAGAACTGACAGATATGTTATTTTGGAATTCCTCAATTGATCTGCATGATCGGAGGGACCAAGAGTTCCGGATCCAAGAGATATAATATTTTGTCTTTGGAGTCGCCCATCGACTGGTCTGACCAGCACGACTGGCTAGAGATCCGGGTGGAGCGAAGGGAACACCGCGTCGTTGAAGGGGTGCAAACCGAAACTTCATGTTGGCTGCGAAAAAGATAAACGCATGCCGGCGCCATTTTGAGAACCAACAGCGTTTCCATGAGATTCATGTAGGTTCTTGAAGAGTCACTCAGTCACTCCCAACTCCCAACTCCCAACTAAGGTTCTTCCAGGATGGCTTGACAGGCTCTGCCTGGGGTGACTGGGCCAACTACACCGACTCCCCTCTGCGCACTTTGATTGCAAATTTATCTTGACCAACACTCATCGTCGCTTTTCGTTCAGCTTCGCCTTTTTCGTTCGCCAGTCAGCTAAATAATATTAAATAATTGTGACGATGTTTCTATACCATCAGCTGATTTAACATTATTGCATGGTTTCCTCTAAACCTCCATGCAGTAGTAAGGAGTAAAAACTCTAAAGAATGTTGCCTGATTGTGACCA